AAAATTATTAGATGTAAATTATATCCGTTATTGTTATTTTAATAATTTTTTTATCGCACTGCATTAAGTAAAGATATGATTATAATTATGTTTTTATTATACTTTATAAACAAAGCTTTGAAAGTAATATTAAAAATTAGTTGAATGAGAGGATCTTGTAAAAAACAATTTTATAAAGATACTTGGAGAAGAATATGAGCAATTTTTAAATCCTCTTTTTTATTAATTATCTTTTAATAATAGACATGTTTTCATTAATTAAGTAAACAAGATATTCCCCTATAACATTTTCTACAATTGCAAAATTATGTTTGCTGAAAGCCCACAAATGGGAAACATATACTTTGTTATTAACTGCATTTCCATCAAATGTGCAACAACTTCAGTCGGCAATATAGTTACATATATGTATTTATATATCAGAGAGTTATGATTAATGGCGATTAACAGCAAGCAGTTTTGCGAGAGTTGCACCAATTAATACATAGGATTTGTTAGTCAAATACATGATTGGCAGTTAGCAGATTGGCTCTATTCTGTAACATTTAATGACAATGTCGATATTATTGTATGTCGTTACGTAGTTTTTTACCATATAAAATACCTGCTCAACGACACTGTAACGATATCGACACTATCGTTAAGACTTACAAAATAGGGCAATAGTTTTATCGAACGTGTTGACGACGGATTGACAGCAGAAACCTAAAAAATATGTCAAAATTTAAATGTGATTGAGCAAAACACTCGCGAGCAGTACGCGACACCACCGCAAGTGAACACCACGGCACGTTGTGGTGCCACGTCCAACTTCTCATAAATGGCTGCGTTCAGCAAAACACATCTGTTTTGCAATCATTTTATAATTGTCTATTGAAATAGAACTATTTTTCTAGATTTAAAAGTATAATTCAATACAACGCGAAAAAACTTCCAACAGTTGCAGAATAACGTTTTGCTAAACACAGTCAATTAAAAAAACTATATGGGTAAATCCGCAAACACAATATGTGCAGCAAGCCTTAAGCCTTAAGAAATTAACCAATCACAGCCGAATGTGAAAAGAACTTGAAAGAAATTGACTGTAATTGATCAATTTCTTAATCAAACAATACAGTAGTAAGCCTTAAGGAATTGACAGTCATAATCAATTATTTTTCTTACATTCGACTGTGATTGATCAATTTCTTAATCAAACAATACAGTAGTAAGTCTTAAGCCTTAAGGAATTGACAGTCATAATCAATTACTTTTCTTACATTCGACTGTGATTGATCAATTTCTTAAGCCTTAGGCTAACTACTCTATTGTGTTTGCGGAGTAAGGCTTAAGGTTTATTATACTATTGTGTTTGACTTAATAAGATAAAAGGTTGCGTTCAGCAGAATGTTTATTTTGCAACTGTAAAAGTTTTATTCGCGCTGATTGGATTATACATTTAGATCTGAAAATGTAATTCAATCAGAATAAAGAAAAGTTCCAACAGTTGCAAAATAAACATTCTGCTGACCGCGACCAAAGATGCAGTATTAGGGAGTCGAAATGCGCATGTCCACTAAAGTGCGTCCTTTAGCGTTTATCTGGATACATAAAAACTCTCCACTATGACGACTATGAGAATTCATTTTCATCCGTATTCTAATAAAATAACTTTGCGAAGTAAAGTTCCTAAAAAAGACTTTCATGGTAAAAGTAAGTGACATGTACACTGATAATACAATTTTTGGTGCAATTAATTTCTGTCTATAAAATTCAAAGATGATATTTATATAGTGTCAATTTGTCGATGTATTTGGCGACAGATCTGATCAGGGTTAGGTAGTGTTAAGTGAAAAAGTTAAAAATTAAGTTAAATAGTTAATTAAATGTAACTAAGTTAAGTTAAAATTGATTTGTCAACTTAATATTTTATCGGTAACTATTAACTTTTAATTTGAATTTTTTGAAATTAACTCTAAGACTAATGCGAAGGAATGAATATATAATTTAGTAATTTTATCTTTATATTGTGTAATCGATAATTGTGTAAAAAAATAACTAATGATTCTTTAATAAATATGCTGTAAGAAAGCAAAAATATAAAAAATTATCTAAAAAAATGATCAAATTTTTTTTTTCTTTTGAGTGATCATTTAAACTAAATGTCAATATAATTTTTTTTAAATTACTTTTTTTATTAATTTAACTTTAAATTCAATTAATTTCAAGGCTGTTTACTTAACTTACCACACTTAACTTTGGATCTGGTCTACGTTTGATCAATCTGGTCTATGTTTAGAGTCAGTCATCGCATTGCTTTGGCCAAATTCACTCTGATGTTGACTAAAATTTAACTTCAAAATATATATTTTATTAAGACACACTTTTATAAACAAGAAATGTTAGTTATCAAAAAATGCTAGTTATGGACTTTCGAAATTGAAATAATATAAAAAAATTAGGCAAATGAAAGTTTAGTGCGGAAACTTAGTGCACCAATTTGATTAAATGTGTACATAAGTTGTATTTAACTTACTTTCCATTCGACCGTTTCGACCAACACTTGGAGTCATCATCAGCGAGATCACAACGAAAAAAAAAAACACTTTTGTAAAGATTCACAGTTATTGCTGGTACCAAATTGGACCAAATTGGTCAATTGCTACCATTCTAAAACTATCCGTCTAATACGAACAAAAAAATATGGAATACGATATGCAGTACGAATAAAAATATGCAATACAAATTAATAAAAAGGTTATTATATACGATAACTCTGCAAATACACATGTAAGCAATAATTCAATGGAAGACACGTTAACTCTTTTGCTTACAATATCATGAGACTCGTGGTAAGGAAATTGGATCAAACATGAGGATGAGAACCGTGATACATTGATCAGGTCAAACGTAAACATGTGTCAGACTGTTGATTATGACACACTCCATCGAAACTTAAATCGTATAGCAAGGGGTTAATAATTGCTTACTAATCTTATCTCGTTTTCTATAATATTTCTACATCTAAATATTATCAATATTATATTACTTATTACTTATTCATATAAATTTATGTCATGTCTATTATTTGTGAATATATTTTC